TTTTTAACCCGAAAAGTTTAGGATGAAGAAATATCTTCTTCTAAGATAAAATACCAATCTTAACAGTAAATTGTAAATTTGAACTAAAAAAAAATTCTTAGATTCTTATCTTATCATTAACTAAAAAATCGACTCTATTTATATACAATTATCTAAAGATCCGGTTAAATTTAAGTACAAGTGAAAAAAATACGTGTTCTAAAAAGACAATCTCAACCTAACTTGTTAAGGTTGCATTTGATCTATATTGAGAAACAGTACAAACAAAATAGTACAACATAAGTAATTAACTCACATGTCAATTTTTTTGTGCCTTTAGCAAATCAAACATATCATAACTTTCTACCGTATATTATAGGCATCTGCATTGAAGTAGAAAATAAAGATATGAAGAAGAAAGAGAATTTGGAAAAAAAGAATATTTTTATATTATTTAATAATTTTGATAACATATAATATAAGATGTTAAATTTATTAAATAATATCACAATATATTATTAAAAAAAACATTGTAAAAAAATATATTTACATTCACATAGCATTCAAATTAAATTGTTAAATTATTGATATTGCCTTCTCATCTCAATTTATGAAAATGATGAAATACCAATGATGACCTCTTTATTTTCATTCTTACCTTTTATTACAGCACAAGCATACATTGAAGTCCACTTTTCATTTTAACGGTTCCAATTATAATCTCACAGTTGTCACACGTACCAAACACACTCTTGAATCCTTACCCAGCTACAGTTGACTTAATTTGTCATACCTTTGTTTTGGCAGTTGTAAGCTGCAACTTTACCATGAAATGTTCATTTAGCTAAATGGACCAACGTTTTTGTAGTTTGAAATCTGTTTAGGGATGACAAGGGAAAAACAACAATGATGGAAGTGATATTCAATTCAGACAAACCGTGTGCAAATCATAAACGATCTATATATAAATTTCTTCCACCCAATAAGATGAAATGCAAGCAGAAATAGATGCTCTTAAATAATTATGACTGATGGGGCATTAGTGTGGATTCGAATTGAAGATTTACTATTTGCTACGGAAAATTTGACAACACACAAAAGTGATGTGAAGGCTTTGAGAATAATTACACTTCCATATCAAAGTGCCAATGCCTCCTATAATTATTTCTATGATGTTTCTATTGGACTTTTATCATACATCTTTCTCGCCCCATACCATATCTGAAACGAACATGTGGCTAGTAATTGTTCTTCAGTTTGAAGGTTTGAAAAACGTGGTAACAATGGACATTATTAGAACTTAGCCAATGATAACAATTTTGTTCTTACGAAGAAAAGAAATGATTTATTTATTTTCACCCAAGGTGTTGTAAGCGATTAATTTGTTCACTTCAAGTTTGGATAAATTTAATGATGAAAGCATGGTGCCAAAATATATTTTAAATGATGAAAGTAAGAGTTCAATGTTGATCCCATTTTATATAAACCAATATCAACCTGCATTATGTGGCGCACTCAGGAATTTTTTTTTATGTCCGCATATTTAGTGGCAGAGTTCGGGGGCAGCGCCCACGAAATTTTTTTTTGTAAAAAAAGTTTAAATCAACGCTTGAACTCGTTCATAATCTAGTTGCTTCCATAACAAGCTGCAGCAATAGTTTGACCAATTATTTCCTCCCCTAAATCTTACCAATCCTCCAAAACAAATATGAGAATATATTCCAGTACATCCATATATCATCATTCTATTTTATAGTGGTGAATAAAAAAGTCAACACTACCTATACAGAAGGCAAACAAGATCACAGTGAAGACCTCGTTTATAGATATTAACTTATTTGAGAATGTCAGACCTGCAATCAATCCTCTCTTTTTATAAAAATGAAAAAGAAAACAAAGGATGAAGAGAGCATGAGAATGAGTACGTGACATGGGGAAGAATAAGTTTTCTCTCTAATCAATTTGTGTTGCTACGTTGCTAACTAATATAAGAATAAATATCATTTTTTGTCTCTAACAAAAAATTCGGTCTCCATTTTAGTCCATTATAAAAAAAAATTAGTCACCTGGTCCTATGAAATTCAAAGTGGGTCCATTTTGGTCTTTTTGAGGGACTAATGTAGATCTTTTTTGAATTTGTAAGGGACCACGATTTTAACTAAATTGATCTACTTTAAATTTTTTAGGGACCTCGAAACTAATTTTTTTGTAAGGGACTAAAATAGGGACTATATTTTTTGTTAGGGACTTAAAATGATATTTACTCCTAATATATATTGAATCAAGAGACAAATAAGAACCTGTAACCAAGAAAAGAAAAGAAAAGCTGAAATAAATTTTTTTATGTCGGCACTTGCCCGCAAGTGGGTTCGCCACTGATTATATGTCACCTGGTCTAACACCTGGTGTCTCTACAGTTGTCGAATGATATTAATTATTAGGGATATGTTTTTTCGTGTTACATGAGATAACACTTATATATCAAAAGTTATACTAATATTTATTTTTTTATTTTTTAAAAAATGGACCTCATATGTATAAAATGTTGAGATATATAGTCCCACATTGGTTGTATGTGCAACTAATGTGGAATTTATAAGGTCTTGGGCACTCCCACCCTTTGAGCTAGCTTTTGGGGTGGTGACCTCAAGGTTCTTTACATGGTATCAGAGCCTGGTCGTCCTCCACTTTCTCTTGTGGAGTTTCTTAGCACAGGTAGACTGGGCCTGTTGCATTGTCCACTCTTCAAGTTTAATGGGCTCTCGTGTGAGGGAAACATATTGAGATATATAATTCTACATTAGTTATACGTGCTACTAATGTAGAAAAGTATGAAGGAGATGATAAAGTTACTAAAAAGTGATGGATACTTATAAGTTATTTGCATTTTAAGGGATGAGTAAAACAACTCTTTTATTGTCACTGAAGAGTTGTTTTTCTCCTGTACACTCATAAACAAATAAAGAAATAAATGAAATTTAAAAAAATCATTTAATTATTAAAAAATAAACTGAATATAATTTAGAAAATATACTGAAAATGTGTATCAAGAAATTATTTTCTACTAAAGACAAATTCTGTTATCTGTAAACAAACCCACCAAACTGCAATATATTTTAGAGCTCCCGTGCCACAGTTCAATGACAACCACACACGAGTCCAAGGAAAAATCCTAGTACTGAAAATTTGCTAAAGCCCAAAACATCCTGATACCGACTCGCATGTAAAAACTACCAAATATAGAACCCAATAAGTATTAAGACTCATATGCTTCTATTATGGGTCGCAACAAACGCTTAGATTGAAATACTTTTACTTTGTGGACAGGCTTAGTTAGGTATGGGCGTTTTCTACTTTTCCATAGTTGAAGGTTAACCAACCTTGCCCATAAGTTGAGGGGAATGCAATTCCTAAATTTCAAACCAGGCCCTTTTTTTTTTTTTTTGGTGCATGGAACCTCATTCTTGTGCTGTTTTTCTTTTAAGTAAAGAAATTATCATTCCATTCTACTAAAAAAATATCAGATATTTTTTCATTATTTTTTTTTATACATTCTAACATTACCAAACATAAAAATGCAATTTAAAATAATATTTTATTTTAAACTCACTCATGTTCCATAAAAAATAAAAAACAATTTTCTCCGAACCTAAAAGTTTAAATGAAGGATTTAGTTATCTCCTATAGCTTTAAAATAATATTCTTTTGAGATTTGAGAAAAAAAAATCATAGCATTTTAAAAAAGTTTTTATTCTAAGACATAATTAAAATTTTCAAAATACCTACTATTCTTTTTTCAAACCTTAAAACATGGTCGATATGATATGCATAAACACGAAAATTAATCTTCCATTTAATTAAATCAGCAGAAGTTAAAAGCTTTATTAAATAGGGATTAATATTTCTTATGTTGTTACATAAATAAAAATAAATGGGAAGGAATATACTTATCACAAAAAAAGTTTACCACTCTTGCAACTAACTTAATCACCGTTGAATTTCGTCATTCTAACGGATATAATTAATTAGAAATTAATAATTAATTAATAAGTATGATCCAATAACTATTATTAGTTTTTAATAAATTATAATATTTAAATTGGTGAAAATCAACGATAATTAAGTTAGTTATAAGAGTAATAAACTTTTTTGTGATAACTAAATTCCCAAAGTATATGAGTTTAATATTATCTTTTTCTTTCTCTTATTTTCACGTAGGCCTCGTACAATTATCACCTGTAAAATAAAAACTAATAATCCCTGTTAAGTATAATCAATGAAAAATTGAATGATGTGGATGCTACCATTTTGTTGAGGGGTTTTAAACGGGATTCAGCTGAGGAAATCAAGGCATATGAAAAATATTACTCTTCTTTTATACGAGGTAACTTATTTTATTTTCTCTTACTTTGATTTTCGCACCTCACTTTTTTTTTTTTTCTTTTTTCTTGTAATGATGGGTCCCACCCATTTTCTCACTACCACATAAGATAATTAATTATCTTATGTGGAAGGAGATTAATAAAACCCTTATAATATTGTATCAGATAATTTCATTTTCTATACCTGTGAGATTCATATAAGCTTATAAATAATAATAATAATAATAAAGGATAGACACATTTTTATGTATATATAAAAAATAAATTTTTAATTATTTATAAAAAAATTATTCTTTATATACGCATAAAAACAAGAGTAAATATTCTTTTGAGTCCCTGACAAAAAATTACGGTCCCCATTTTAGTCTCTTACGAAAAAAAATTACTCGTATGGTCTTAAAAAAGTTTAAAGTGGATCCATTTTAATCTTTTTGAGAGACTAATATGAATCTTTTTTGAATTTGTGAGGGACCACGATTTTAATCCATTTTGAATTTATGAGATAACCCAAAACTAATTTTTTTTTTTTATAAAGAACTGAGAAGTATAATTTTTTTTTAAGAATCCAAAAATATATTTAATCTGACGTGCGTGATCACAAATATAGCGGAGGACCGCAGAAGAAACTACCAATTCGTCAAAAAAATAAATAAAAATAAGAGAATCCAATAAAGTTAATAGATCTCCTTCTTCTTCATTCTGATTCTGATTTTTGTTAAAAAATAAAATAAAAAATAAAATGGTTGCTTTCAGCGGCGATGAAACTGCTCCATTCTTCGGGTTCCTGGGCGCCGCCGCTGCCCTAATTTTCTCCTGTAGTAACCCTTTTCCTTGTTCTTAAAAAATCAATTTTTGTTTATGAATTTGATTTGATAATGGTAATTGGAATTGCAGGCATGGGAGCGGCTTACGGGACTGCAAAAAGCGGTGTTGGGGTTGCGTCGATGGGTGTGATGAGACCCGAGCTTGTGATGAAATCGATTGTGCCTGTTGTGATGGCTGGTGTGTTGGGTATCTATGGCTTGATCATCGCTGTCATTATCAGCACTGGCATTAACCCTAAGGCCAAACCTTACTATCTCTTTGATGGCTACGCTCACTTTTCTTCTGGCCTTGCTTGTGGTCTCGCTGGCCTTGCTGCTGGCATGGCCATTGGTATTGTTGGCGATGCTGGCGTTAGGTATTCTTGTTGCCCCCCTCATTTATCTACTCTTTTTGTTTTAGTTATTATTGCATTTACCCTCTGGGCTATGCATATGTGAAAATTGAACATGTCAAAGTATACAGATTTGAGCAGAGTTGGAATTAAGTGTTGTAATTAAGTCTCAAATTGATTAGGAATGGGGACTTATAGGAGTCAATACTAGTTGAGAGAGAGTATATTCCATATTGTGGAGTCAAGAATCTTTTTCTTTTTTTTTTAGATTTCTTCACTAGTTTATCGATTTAGTCGACCAAACCACGACAGCGGCAAGCTCTCCCTATTAAGTTTTTAACACAATTGCATACCTAATAATTTGTGCAGTTGGTCAAGACTTCACTTTTGAGTCATAATTTGGATGGTTGTGCTAGGTACTTCGTGCATTGAATTGGTGGAAATTTATACCTAGTCATAGTTAATTTGGATTAGAATTAGTGCTTAGTCTATTTTAGTATTTTGCATGGTTGCAAGTCTACAATGAAGAAACAGCTGTTATGACTTGATTAACCTCTTTGACAGCATGTGGGAGCATACACCTGAATTACAGGTCCAGAAATTACTTAATGCTAGTATCACTACTGCTGCCACTGCTTTCAGTATTTTGATGCTGTGCCTGTGTTCACTGAGAGATTGTTTAACACTTTAACTCTGACCGGATAAATGTATCTGAGCTCTATTTTACTGTATTGAATTTGACATGCTGAAAATGAACGGTTTTTGTAGAGCAAATGCCCAACAACCAAAGCTTTTTGTTGGAATGATTCTCATCCTCATCTTTGCTGAGGCATTGGCGTTGTATGGTCTCATTGTTGGCATCATCCTCTCGTCCCGTGCTGGCCAATCCAGAGCTGATTAATGTAAATTGTGAAATTTCATGTTGCTTGTAGTGCACAGCCATGGATTGTGAATGTTACTAGCCACTTGGGCTTGGTAAGAGTGGAGCTTTGTCATTCTCTTCATTTGTCTTATGACTCTTATCTACTTGTTATAAAATTGAGTTTATCCTGTAATAAAGCCTGTCAAACTATTTCTTTGGCCATTACTGTATTTAATAATGTTAAATCCAAAGTAGATTAGAGATCTCTGCCATGAAACAGATGTTTTTGTTGATTTCAATAATGCTTAGTATTGTGTCCTACACAATTCAACACTCCAGCCCTAACCCCAAGATCTCTTTTTTTGGTTGTATTAAGATGTAATATGTCAATCTGGTTTCTTTTATGGGTTTTATAATTCTCAACACCCTTCGATTTTCGTGCTGACGTGAGTTCTACACATAATTTTTTCTAACATATGGGTCCCACATGTTTTTTGTCTCTACAATATAATATTTCAATTATCATGTAACTTAGAGAATTATAAAACCTTTCTTTTATAACAGTTTTCAGCATTATGAATCATTTCTCACATTTAAGTGCGGCAAATAAGTTTACAGGTCATGGATGAACTGGTAAATGAATAATGCTGTTTGTGTTGTTGATCTTGGATAAAAGGTCGGCTTGGTATGTTAAATATAGGATCTTGACTTTGCATTAGGCTTGTTTGTGAAGTACTCATATACAAATAACTTATTATGAAAGATTAATTGTATGTTTTAACATTAACAAAATTAAAATATTATTATGAAAGTAATTCACATCATTGAGCTGAATTTTTATCTATAGATTAGAAATTAACAATCGTAGTACTTTTTGGTGATTGCAGAGTAAACGTATCCTATTAAAAAAATTCTCTTTGATTTTCGAAAGAACTTCAAAGCTTCTTTAAAGTTTAATTCATTGAACTCATCTATCAAACATTGTGGAACTTGAGAAAGTTATGGCTCGTGTTGACTTTTTACACCCTTTATCGTGGAGGAAGACTGATGATGATCTGAATACCGGAATTTTTTTTCGAGAGTTACCACTCTCCAAATTGAATATACAGAAAACTCTTCTTAGCAATTAGGCTCTGTTTGAAAACTATTTTAAAAAATAGTTTTTTAATAGTTTTTTGATTTTCATAATAAAAAAACAAAAAAAAAACATTTGGTAAGGTATGTTTTGTAAAAAAAAATTAATTTTTTTTTTAGAATCAAATTTAAATAATGTGTCTGGGTTATTTTTGTTTTCTGTTTTGATTTTTAACTTAAAAATAAACTTGTTTTCATAACTAATTTACAAAATAATTTTAAGAAGAAAAAAAACAGAACACAATAAAAAAGGCTCTTTATATCGTATTTTTTTCTCGTTTTACTGAAGTTGAAGGGTTGGTGGATCCTTGTTAAGTACCGAATATCTCATTCTTTAGGCCCATGCTTGTCGGCCTTGTTTAGGATACCACAAGATTGTGTATTTTAGGGTGTCTTTAAATTGTGAAAAGTCTGTTTTTAAGGGTGAAGAGTTAAAAAAAGTCATTTTTCTAAAAGCCCATTCTTAAAAAAAAAAAAAAAAAAAAACCTTTTCGAAAGACCATCATAGGGATTGGGTCACCCATTTTCGGATTTTGTGCAGAAAGATATGGAAGGAGTGGAAAAATTTTGTTTCAACTCTAAGGCAAGATAATTTAATTCGAAGTGCCCTCTGCTGTAAGGGAAGTATGAAAAGGGCCATGGATTTACTTTTGTCTGGGGTTGGTGAACAAGTCTTGAACACCCCATAAACTAATCTTCTGGGAGATGAAAATCTAGAATGACCCTCCATTAGAATTATGGCTTTTGTTATTGGAAGATTTGGTGGGAGTTGGATATCCACGTATGTGTTACAGCAAGCATTGTTCTGTTAGTTTGATGTTTTCTATTTCCTTATCATATTAAAAAAATATTGTGATTTTTTTTTTTTTTTTTACAAGAATATCACTTTTTTTTTTTCTTCAAAAATAAAAAACATTTTCACAAAATAAACACAGCTTAGTTTCCACCTGATTCGGAATTGTCACTTGTCTGAGGACGTTAGTATTTAGTTGCCCATCAAAAGAGCAGTACCTTTCATAATTCATTCGGATACCGGAATCCTTTATGTAATAGAAATGTTGCACTGTTTTGTTTAATTTTCCTTGTATTTCCAAAAAGAAGAAGAAATGTTGCACTGATACGATTCGTGCGGGTTTTACACATAATCTCAATCAATTCTAATTTATTAATTTAAATATGAGTGAACCCAAAATGATATTATTTTGAGTTGAGAAAAAGTAATTTTAATTTATTTCAAAATATATTAGTTTTTATCTTTTAATTTTTCAACCTCCAAACGACGTCTTTTAGGACTCCCTTGGAGATAACTTTATATCCATTCATAGACAAATGCTTTTTTCCTTTAATTTTAGTGATGTCAATAATTAATATTTGAACATGTTTGGCACTTTTTAAAAAAAAATATTTTTAAGCTAAAACTAAAAAAAGAAACTTTAAAAATAAAGCTACAAGCTGATTGATGATTATATAAAAATTTTAACTTAAAAATTTTTCATTTCAAAAAAGTTCACATTTCAAAAAAAAATTATACAACTTAAAAAAAGCTCCTCTTAGAAATATTTGACTTTTGACATTTTTTTTCATTATAAAAAAAGCTCTTTTTATTATAAGAGTTTTTTTGTAAAACTGTATACCAAACCCAAACAAGGATCTTCCCAGCCTTCCACCAAAGCCACAACACTTCTTGTATCTGTTTGGCTTAACTTCACTAATCTACCAAACAGGCACTAAGAGTATAATTTACAACTTTATAAAATAATCTTCCAATACATTTATACTTACTAAATGGAGATATATTTGGTTACTTTAGCCGTACCCATGCAGCATAAACAAAATTCTATCTTTTTTTTTTTGTTTCCAGTAGTGATTATATCATTTAAATTAAAAGGGTTAATTTTTTTCAATGTTATATGAGAAAAGATTAATCTCTTACTTACACACACAAAATAGAGGAAAAAGGAAAGAGGAAAGAGATTAGAGGAGAGAGGAGAGAAAATATAAGGTGGACTCCACCTTTCATTTGTGTATGTAGGAAAAAAAATATTTTCTCATGTAATATGAAAAAATATTATCTCTTTAAATTAAGTCCAATTTGGATGGGCTTTAAAAAAAGCCATAAAGTCTTTTTTTTAAAGTTAAAGCTATTTTATGTTTAGATTGAATACATAAAAAAATATTTTTAATTAAAAAAAAAATTCATGTTAAAATTAATAAATACTTTTTATATATAAATTATTTAAAAGGGTCAAGATCATTTTACACCAGTGTAAGTTACACCTTTAATCTTGTTCGTTGATCCCACTTATATCTAAGGGCTCTAATTTTTTAGTAACATGAGTCATTGGATACAAGTGGATCAATGGTCAAGATTGAGTGTAAGACTTCTAACTCTTACACCAGTGTAAAAATATCTTGCCCTTATTTAAAAATATATTTGATGATAGTGGGGTGAAATAATTGGAGTGAAGTTGTGATAAAATTAAATTTTCAAAAATTATTTAATTTCTGGCTTCTGTTTTTTTAAGAAGCAAGAAATCATGACTTCTAAAAAAAGCATTATTTTAAATTTTTCTTTTTAAAAACATTGTTATTCAAAAGCATAAAATGACCCCAAAAGATTATTTAAAAATAAAACAGCTTTTTTAAAAGAAAGTCGAAACAGTGATCAAAATGCTACTTTTTGGTAAAATTGTTACCTAAATGTCACGCGAATAGTACTTTTTACTAGATTATCACGTGGCGTAATTCGCTACAAATGGTAGCGAATTACGTTCGTCAATTATTTTGTGACACGTGATGTGGCACACTTTCGCAGGAAAAAATTGACATGTCATAATTCGTTACAGTGATAGCGAATTTGGTCTGCAATATGACCGCGTGTCACGAAATCATTAGCCACGAAATTCGCTGGATTATTACACATTATAGTCTGATAAAAAGTACTGTTTGCGTAGCATTTGGATAAAAATTTTATCAAAAAGTGACATTTTGGTGACTGTTCCAGAAAATTCCATCCAATCGTCCATTAAGAACATTTGATATTTAAAAAAATATATAAATAACTAAATATAGGCCCAATTTCTAGCCCAGCAAAAACATAAAAATTAAACAAATCTATCTTATCTTACTACATAGAAAGGAGAACCAAACTTTGAAAAGTTTGCTGACGTGTCGCTCTCTCCTTCATTCTCAGCTTTGTGTTCACACTGGAGGATAGTTTGAAAAGTTACTTCTTTTGGAAAAAAAATTTATCTTGTAAATAAAAAATTCTAAAAAGGATGGAGAGTCTCTAAAATTATAAAATACTTGGTGGCAGACAATTGCATTAATGACCTTCAAAATTCGAAATTTAAATTTGAAATGGGTATGAAGAATAATTCAAAATACACAGTGGAAGACACAAGTATTAATGATCCACTACTTTCTGCATGGGTAGGTGGAAAAATATTAATATCTCATTACTTTTTGCATTGGTAGGTGGAAAAGTATTCAAATTCAAAATTTAAACTTAAAGGTGGAAAAAGAGGTCATCATTAATATCTCACTACTTTCTGCATAGGTAATTGTTAACCCCATTAATATTCCACTACTGGGCTTAATTATTAAAAAACGAAATTAATTTGTGTATAAATAGGATATGTGTTACTGGGTCTTTTCATTTGGTAATTAGTTTTTGCGCATATGTTCCTTCTCTTCTCTCTCTATTTATCTTCTTCATCTTATCAAGTTGTTCTTCTATTAGATGAACATGTAATATTTTTCATCTTATCAAGTTGTTCTTCTATTAGATGAACATGTAATATTTTTCATCTTATCAAGTTGTTTCTTCTATTCTTTCTCTATTTGCCAGCCTGACGAGATGATTTGGAATCACTAGAATATGTATTTCATTTTATGCTTATGTTTCAGGGTTATCAATGAGGAAAACGCGAAAAATGCATAATGGTGAAAAATTAAAAGATCAAGGCTTTATAATAGTGAAAGCCAAACAATCTACCACAAATGTATAATATAAATTTAATTTTAATAAAAAACTCATCATTTTTCTTATAACTTTTAAACTATTCAGACACTTAATCTTCTGCTCCTGTGTGTTCTCACTTACTTGCCAATTTTGAAAATAAATAAATAACTAAAAATTAAGTTTTAAGTAAATTAAATATCGAAATTAAAGTATTAGAGGCAGACATCAAATTAATATCCCACTATCATTTTTA